ATCTTGACCCACCTCTCCTGGGGCACAAACATCATGACCTGGCGTGTTGAATATTGTCGCAATAAGAAGTAAGCAGTGGGTCGGTGTTACCCCTGATTGCTCCAAATTTAGCAGCCATCCTAATTGCGTGAGCAACTTGATGATGAACTGTCTGTGGAAAGGAAGGACGACTGGATCCTGCTGGGCTTGAACACAGTCGTCGATATTGTTGTCAATTGTCACGCTTCGACAATGCAGGTAGCTGGTTATCAGAATGGGTATCTGAGTAAAAACCCACGGGGCTGCGCATATGCCCATACAGCAGGATCCTCCATTGGTATCAATGACGCCCCATAAAAGTAAATCGAAGATACTTCCAATAGTCTGGATGTATCCGGATGTGAAGGTAGGCGTCTCACAGGTCGAGGGACTGACTGACTGACTGAGTTTAGTTTTACACCGCCTTTAGCAATAATCCAGCAAAATCACGGCGGGGGGCACCAGAAATGGGCTCAACACATTGTGCCCATGTGGGGATCGAACCGGGGTCTTGGGCGTGACGAGTCAACGCTTTAACCACTAGGCTACCCCACGGCCATCGCAGGTCGAGGGAAATGAGAGGTCTAACCACTCTTGCCTCTGACAAAAAGATATCTCCTGATATAAGAACGTTCAATAAGTCGAGCAACTACGTCAGTTCTGACGGAGTGCTCAATTTAGTAAGTTCGGCGCATGGAGATTGTCAGTCAATCTACAGGAACGTTCACATTATAAACAAATTGTAGAAATTCGTAGGATCGGTGACCTCAGGAACGTTTCTTTTGGCCGAACAAAATAATGGTGCGCCAGGTGGAGTGATATAGGTAGTAGATCGCTGCCTGGTGACAATCCTTGCATAATGCAGTGACCTCTGAACTCAGTGCTTGACTAGGCAAACCGTTCACGGGTGTTTCTGTCCGTCACCCTCAATAAGCAGTCTCTCTCGACTGGCTGTCAAAATCCCGACACAGTCACTCTTATCGGGAATGGCAGCGTTCGTTGTTACTTGCATTTATAGGCTGGACTTGGTATCCGATTCGTGGGACCAAGAGAATTCTGCAAGGGCACTTCATAGTCACTCTAATCATCAAAATTCCGGTAAACAAACAGTAGTCCGCCATTTGCAAACGTTACACACGAGTGACAAAAAATACGGACAACATGGTCTTTGGTTAACCGGGCGAGTCGCAACCCATAAATTCCCGGGCTGAGCTATGCTGGCTATTTGACAAAACATTGCCGGTACCATGCGCAAGAACTTCATCCATTTGTTATCTGTCCAGAAACTTGCTTATCATGTAAAACAAAGGGAGCTGAAGATGACGAGCCGTCTGCAACAATTGCACCAAGGGATACACAAACACGCTGTTACGAGTAGTCTGTAGTAACAAGACTCATCGGAGCGTCGTAGAGTATTCCTGGCTCGCAAGCGTATCTAGTTATGCCATATCGGGTGGTTGCAGAACTGATATCTACACCGAAGGGTAGAATCGTTGAACCGAATCATTCATCAAAAGTGAAGATCGGATGGTAGATTAAATCTGGAATGAGATGAGCCCCAGTCACGGAGGACTCTTGAGAACTGGGATCGTCAGGCCGTCAAGTGCCGAGCGTGATATCTCTAGATGACTGCGCTACTAACAACACATGTAAATCAAATCGGCAAGGTGAAGCACATAGCTACTACCTCTGTACATTGATCTTGAACGGCCAGGTGAACTGGTTCGACGATAGGGAGCTTTCGACCTGGTGAAACGATACGAGCCGGCTGGTAAATCAGTTCAGGGTGGTGAGCCGGAAAGTTGACGTGATCTGAATCAGTCCGATGTGATCTGAATCGTGACTGATCTGGATCGGTTCGGTAATCCGAAACGGTTAAATGATCTCAGCTGATGGAGAGATCTAGAACGCTCAGATGAACCAGTGAGGCGAGGTGAAATGTTCCGGCCGAGGTGAATCGTTTCGGTGCTGTGAATTGAATCGATGATGTGAACTGTTTCGGCGATAAGAAACAGTCTTAATATTATGGCAAACTGAGTCAATGTCGTATTCACATACGGCGTGGCGAAACGGTTCGGTCTGGTGAATCCATTCGTGTATGGCATACCGATTCGGTGTGGTGAATCGGTTCGGTCTGGTGAATCCATTTGGTATGGCGAACCGATTCGGCGTGGTGAACCGGTTCGGCAATTTGATGGTACGATTCGGTCTGGTGAATCCATTCGGTATGGCGAACCGATTGGGTGTGGTGAATCCATTCGGTATGGCGAACCGATTGGGTGTGGTGAATCCATTCGGTATGGCGAAACGGTTCGGTCTGGTGAATCCATTCGGTATGGCGAACCGATTCGGTGTGGCGAATCGGTTCGGCGATTTGACGAAGTAGATCGGATGTGTGAGTCAACTGGCAACACAGAGCGTTTTGATGAGGCGGAACCACGAGAAGACATCTAATGATGCGCCCATAAAATTATCACCGTCCGACATGGGAAACTGCGGACGACGAGCAGTTAATACCGGTCGTTAAAAACGGGGGTTTGTCGGGTGATCAACTGTTGAAGTGTAACGAGCTCTGACTGCCAGCCATCGGGAGCAAGTATGTCTACATGCTCTAAAAACGTCCTTAATAAGGGAGCACATTCCCGACAACGTTTGCTCCAGGAACATGACGATTGGGGATCCGAGGAAGTAAATATTGTTACAGTGTGCGCAAAATTACGCTACTGAGTCTAGACTGACAAGACGGGATATCCTGATTCACCTAAAGTGAATGAGACCGACTTCGAGAATCACTCTGACGAAAACACACCGTACGGCTAGGTGAACCGGATCGAAATGGCCAACCACCTCGACCAGGCGAGACTGAACGACTACGGGAATCAAAACGCTGATGGTGTGTCGAACTGAAACCTATGTTGAGGTGAACTGAGTCGGGAATGTGAACCCGTTCGTCCTGGTGAACCCCTTCGAGTACGTGAATCAGTTCGGTCAGGTGAACCCATTTGATTACGTGAATCAGTTCGGTCAGGTGAACCCATTCGAAGATGTACTGGTGAGCCGGCTCGGCCGTGTGAGCCGGTTCGGCATGTGTGAGCCGGCTCGGCCATGTGTGAGCCGGTTCGGCGGCTGTGTGAGCCGGCTCGGGAAAGTGAACGCGAGCAAGACCTAGAACGACTCCTCCCAGCCGTGGAAATAGGAGAGCGGGTACGTTCCAACCGCGCCGATCCCCGCTTCAACGATGAATGCTTAGAAGTTCTCGAAGTCTGTGATCGTTCCGAAGAAGCAGACCTACGAGATAATGTAGATCGCAGGTCTGGCGTAGAAGAAATATCGGTCATTACCACCCTGGTACGCTCATGAGAACTTAAACTGGGTGAGGGAAGCTCCCCTAAAAGCCTTCTAACGTTCTCAGATAAATAGGAATCCGACGAAGCGTCCATAAAATCTTCGTCAGGAGAGACGGGCGATTGAGAACGGTGAGCAGTGAGGGTGGGGCGATCTAAGCATTGTTTCTTAGCGGGAGATGGACCAGACCCCGCAGAATTAGTCCTAGCCCTATCTGCCAAACGTCTGGCACAAGCACGTTTGTAAAATTTAAACGCCTCATTAGACAGACCTGAACACTTCGGACAGCGTGTGTCCCAGTCACAAACACCCACATAATCAACACACGATGTGTGTGGGTCCCATGCTGAAATTACTTTATTACAACGGGCGCAAAACATCCGTTTACTGGCCTGAACAGGCTTAACCATTTTGAGCAAATCTCAGACGAAAAAATTTTCACGTCCACTCAGTGGAGCGACAAGAAAGAGAATGAGTATGTGAGGTGATCACGTGGGTGAGGACTGCGCATGCCTCGTGCTGTCATGGACTAGTGAGCACGACTGACACAGAAGGCACGCACAGCACGGGAGAGGGGCAAGGTAGGCCTTGGAGCAAAGTTTTAATTCGTTTCCACTCATGGTCGAATGAAGAGAGAGAGGTGCAAGTCGTGAGATAGGATAAGTTTAAAATTATTTGAGATCAGTTTGGTGATCAGTTTGGTGATCACAGTGGCCATTCTTTCCGGAATTGTTCACATTTATGTCTATTTCTCCCAGATTGCAAGTACGTTGTTACAATTTCAATTTGCTGTTATTGTTTTAAGCAGAATAAAATATGATATATATTATCAGTTTGACACGCGGAATTTGGTTTTCAAAGCATGTTTAACAACGTGGTGTTTCTGTACTTCTGTACTGATGGTGCTTGATTAATACTCATGTGTATTTTCTCCTATTTGAAGATAATCGATGCATCTATTGTGAAGCACATTTCATCAAAGCATGGTACATATATAACAAATAATCTTTGCTGCATCGTAAATTCAATACTATTTCATCAGGTACTCGTAAATTGAAGTAGTTCCACATAGAAATGGCCCTTTAAGAAAACCGTTTTTAAAAACGAATAATCTCCACATTAAATGCCGTTAGTGAATGTCGTATTTACATCAACAGCAATGCTTAACATCATCGAGGTAGGAGTGAGTGAATGAGCACGGTAAATGCATTATTGGCAGTTGTTCGTAGGTATGTAATATTTAAATGATCTTCATTTGAAAAACATGGGATGGACCTAAGAACTAATTTGTTGAATGAGATTTCAGATTTACCTTACTCTAAAACGTCCTCCTGCCTACCACCAATTGTTAAATGAATGTTATATTTTTATCATTTCCACTGTATCTACTAATCGGTATATTCTCAACCAGTGTATTTATGAAAACTTGCATATGGGCCGATGGCCTTTGATGCAATAAAACATCTTTGACTTTGACTTTGGCAGTTGTTTGTAGCGAATACGTCCCACACCGGGTACACAGCAATGGCCCTAAGGGCCACCAGCTGTAATGGCATACAAGGGACACTGGGCAACCTTTCTGCATTGAAATTATTTTGGTTTTCAACAGTTTATCTCCTAGGTAACGGTTCACCTACCTGTACAGTTGATGTCAGGGAGTTTCCAGGATCCGTTGCTGAGACAGATGATGCTGTGGGTGTCGCCGGCGAGAGACACGAAACCGGCAGCACACGTATACACAGCGACTTGATTCTCCGTCGTCCCTGTCAACGTCGTTGTCGTGTTGTCCACAGGCGGCGGCTGACCACAGTCAACTGTCACAATGACAACACGTACAAGTACTGTGTGATATCACAAGGAATATAACACCTAAAATATAGATCATTGTATCACACGCTTGAGGCACGGCATACGTTACGTCGCTACGGAGAACCAGAACCTTACAATACCGGTCCCCTTTGGGAGAACCAGAACCTTACAATACCTGTTCCCTTGGGAGAACCAGAACCTTATAATACCTGTTCCCTTGGGAGAGCCAGAACCTTATAATACCTGTTCCCTTGGGAGAACCAGAACCATACAATACCTGTTCCCTTGGGAGAACCAGAACCTTACAATACTTGGTCGCTTGGGAGAACAAAAACCTTACAATACCTGTTCCCTTGGGAGAACCAGAACCTACAATACCTGTCCGCTTGGGAGAACCAGAACCTTACAATACCTGTCCGCTTGGGAGAACCAGAACATTACAATACCTGTTCGCTTGGCAGAACCAGAACCTTATAATACCTGTCCGCTTGGGAGAACCAGAACCTTACAATACCTGTCCGCTTGGGAGAACCAGAACCTTACAATACCTGTCCGCTTGGGAGAACTAGAACCTTACACTACCTGTCCGCTTCGGAGAACCAGGACCTTACAATACCTGTTCGCTTGGGAGAACTAGAACCTTGCAATACCTGTTCGCTTGGGAGAACCAGAACCTTACAATACCTGTTACCTTGGGAGAACCAGAACCATACAATACCTGTCCGCTTGGGAGAACCAGAACCTTACAATACCTGTTCGCTTGGGAGAACCAGAACCATACAATACCTGTCCGCTTGGGAGAACCAGAACCTTACAATACCTGTTCGCTTGGGAGAACCAGAACCATACAATACCTGTTCGCTTGGGAGAACCAGAACCTTACAATACCTGTCCGCTTGGGAGAACCAGAACCTTACAATACCTGTCCGCTTGGGAGAACCAGAACCTTACAATACCTGTCCGCTTGGGAGAACCAGAACCTTACAATACCTGTCCGCTTGGGAGAACCAGAACCTTACAATACCTGTCCGCTTGGGAGAACCAGAACCTTACAATACCTGTCCACTTGGGAGAAGCAGAACCTTACAATACCTGTCCGCTTGGGAGAACCAGAACCTTATAATACCTGTCCGCTTGGGAGAACCTGAACCTTACAATACCTGTCCGCTTGGGAGAACCAGAACCTTATAATACCTGTCCGCTTGGGAGAACCAGAACCTTACAATACCTGTCCGCTTGGGAGAACCAGAACCTTACAATACCTGTTCGCTTGGGAGAACTAGAACCTTATAATACCTGTCCACTTGGGAGAACCAGAACCTTACAATACCTGTCCGCTTGGGAGAACCAGAACCTTACAATACCTGTCCACTTGGGAGAACCAGAACCTTACAATACCTGTTCGCTTGGGAGAACCAGAACCTTACAATACCTGTCCACTTGGGAGAACCAGAACCTTACAATACCTGTCCGCTTGGGAGAACCAGAACCTTATAATACCTGTCCGCTTGGGAGAACCAGAACCTTATAATACCTGTCCGCTTGGGAGAACCAGAACCTTACAATACCTGTTCGCTTGGGAGAACTAGAACCTTACAATACCTGTTCGTTTGGGAGAACCAGAACCTTACAATACCTGTTCGCTTGGGAGAACCAGAACCTTACAATATCTGTCCGCATGGGAGAACCAGAACCTTACAATACCTGTCCGCTTGCGAGAACCAGGACCTTACAATACTTGTTCGCCTGGGAGAACCAGAACCTTACAATACCTGTCCGCTTGGGAGAACCAGAACCTTACAATATCTGTCCGCATGGGAGAACCAGAACCTTACAATACCTGTCCGCTTGCGAGAACCAGGACCTTACAATACTTGTTCGCCTGGGAGAACCAGAACCTTACAATACCTGTCCGCTTGGGAGAACCAGAACCTTACAATACCTGTCCACTTGGGAGAACCAGAACCTTCCAATACCTGTCCGCTTGGGAGAACCAGGACCTTACAATACTTGTTCGCCTGGGAGAACCAGAACCTTACAATACCTGTTCGCTTAGGAGAACCAGAACCTTACAATACCTGTTCGCTTGGGAGAACCAGAACCTTACAATACCTGTCCGTTTGGGAGAACCAGGACCTTACAATACTTGTTCGCCTGGGAGAACCAGAACCTTACAATACCTGTTCGCCTGGGAGAACAAGAACCTTACAATACCTGTTCGCTTGGGAGAACCAGAACCTTACAATACCTGTCCGCTTGGGAGAACCAGAACCTTACAATACCTGTTCGCTTGGGAGAACCAGAACCTTACAATACCTGTTCGCTTGGGAGAACTAGAACCTTGCAATACCTGTTCGCTTGGGAGAACCAGAACCTTACAATACCTGTTACCTTGGGAGAACCAGAACCATACAATACCTGTCCGCTTGGGAGAACCAGAACCTTACAATACCTGTTCGCTTGGGAGAACCAGAACCATACAATACCTGTCCGCTTGGGAGAACCAGAACCTTACAATACCTGTCCGCTTGGGAGAACCAGAACCATAAAATACCTGTCCACTTGGGAGAACCAGAACCTTACAATACCTGTCCGCTTGGGAGAACCAGAACCTTATAATACCTGTCCGCTTGGGAGAACCAGAACCTTACAATACCTGTCCGCTTGGGAGAACCAGAACCTTACAATACCTGTCCGCTTGGGAGAACCAGAACCTTACAATACCTGTCCGCTTGCGAGAACCAGAACCTTACAATACCTGTTCGCTTGGGAGAACCAGAACCTTACAATACCTGTCCGCTTGGGAGAACCAGAACCTTACAATACCTGTCCGCTTGGGAGAACCAGAACCTTACAATACCTGTCCGCTTGGGAGAACCAGAACCTTACAATACCTGTCCGCTTGGGAGAACCAGAACCTTACAATACCTGTCCGCTTGGGAGAACCAGAACCTTACAATACCTGTCCACTTGGGAGAACCAGAACCTTACAATACCTGTCCACTTGGGAGAACCAGAACCGTACAATACCTGTCCACTTGGGAGAACCTGAACCTTACAATACCTGTCCGCTTGGGAGAACCAGAACCATATAATACCTGTTCGCTTGCGAGAACCAGAACCTTACAATACCTGTTCGCTTGGGAGAACCAGAACCTTACAATACCTGTTCGTTTGGGAGAACCAGAACCTTACAATACCTGTCCGCTTGCGAGAACCAGGACCTTACAATACCTGTTCGCTTGGGAGAACCAGAACCTTACAATACCTGTTCGTTTGGGAGAACCAGAACCTTACAATACCTGTCCGCTTGCGAGAACCAGAACCTTACAATACCTGTTCGCTTGGGAGAACCAGAACCTTACAATACCTGTTCGTTTGGGAGAACCAGAACCTTACAATACCTGTCCGCTTGCGAGAACCAGGACCTTACAATACTTGTTCGCTTGGGAGAACCAGAACCTTACAATACCTGTTCGCTTGGGAGAACTAGAACCTTACAATACCTGTTCGTTTGGGAGAACCAGAACCTTACAATACTTGTTCGCTTGGGAGAACCAGAACCATACAATACCTGTCCACTTGGGAAAACCAGAACCTTACAATACCTGTCCGCTTGGGAGAACCAGAACTTTACAATACCTGTCCGCTTGGGAGAACCAGAACCTTACAATACCTGTCCGCTTGGGAGAACCAGAACCTTACAATACCTGTTCGCTTGGGAGAACTAGAACCTTACAATACCTGTTCGTTTGGGAGAACCAGAACCTTACAATACCTGTTCGCTTGGGAGAACCAGAACCTTACAATATCTGTCCGCTTGGGAGAACTAGAACTTTACAATACCTGTTCCCTTGGGAGAACCAGAACCATACAATACCTGTTCGCTTCGGAGAACTAGAACTTTACAATACCTGTCCACTTGGGAGAACCAGAACCTTACAATACCTGTCCGCTTGGGAGAACCAGAACCTTACAATACCTGTTCGCTTGGGAGAACTAGAACCTTACAATACCTGTTCGTTTGGGAGAACCAGAACCTTACAATACCTGTCCGCTTGCGAGAACCAGGACCTTACAATACTTGTTCGCTTGGGAGAACCAGAACCTTACAATACCTGTCCGCTTGGGAGAACTAGAACCTTACAATACCTGTCCGCTTGGGAGAACCAGAACCTTACAATACCTGTTCGCTTGGGAGAACTAGAACCTTACAATACCTGTTCGTTTGGGAGAACCAGAACCTTACAATACCTGTCCGCTTGCGAGAACCAGGACCTTACAATACTTGTTCGCTTGGGAGAACCAGAACCTTACAATACCTGTCCGCTTGGGAGAACTAGAACCTTACAATACCTGTCCGCTTGGGAGAACCAGAAGCATACAATACCTGTTACCTTGGGAGAACCAGAACCATACAATACCTGTGCGCTTGGGAGAACCAGAACCTTACAATACCTGTTCGCTTAGGAGAACCAGAAGCATACAATACCTTTTACCTTGGGAGAACCAGAAGCATACAATACCTGTTACCTTGGGAGAACCAGAACCTTACAATATCTGTTCGCTTGGGAGAACCAGAACCATACAATACCTGTCAGCTTGGGAGAACCAGAACCTTACAATACCTGTCCGCTTGGGAGAACCAGAACCTTACAATACCTGTCCACTTGGGAGAACCAGAACCTTACAATACCTGTCCGCTTGGGAGAACCAGAACCTTACAATACCTGTCTGCTTGGGAGAACCAGAACCTTACAATACCTGTCCGCTTGGGAGAACTAGAACCTTACAATACCTGTTCGTTTGGGAGAACCAGAACCTTACAATACCTGTTCGCTTGGGAGAACTAGAACCTTACAATACCTGTTCGTTTGGGAGAACCAGAACCTTACAATACCTGTTCGTTTGGGAGAACCAGAACCTTACAATACCTGTCCGCTTCGGAGAACCAGAACCTTACAATACCTGTCCGCTTGCGAGAACCAGGACCTTACACTACTTGTTCGCCTGGGAGAACCAGAACCATACAATACCTGTCCGCTTGGGAGAACCAGAACCTTACAATACCTGTTCGCTTAGGAGAACCAGAACCATATAATACCTGTCCGCTTGGGAGAACCAGAACCTTACAATACCTGTTCGCTTGGGAGAACCAGAACCTTACAATACCTGTTACCTTGGGAGAACTAGAACTATACAATACCTGTTCCCTTGGGAGAACCAGAACCTTACAATACTTGGTCGCTTGGGAGAACAAAAACCTTACAATACCTGTTCCCTTGGGAGAACCAGAACCTACAATACCTGTCCGCTTGGGAGAACCAGAACCTTACAATACCTGTCCGCTTGGGAGAACCAGAACCTTACAATACCTGTTCGCTTGGCAGAACCAGAACCTTACAATACCTGTTCCCTTGGGAGAACCAGAACCATACAATACCTGTTCGCTTGGCAGAACCAGAACCTTACAATATCTGTCCGCTTGGGAGAACCAGAACCATACAATACCTGTTCGCTTGGGAGAACCAGAACCTTACAATACCTGTCCACTTGGGAGAACCAGAACCTTACAATACCTGTTCGCTTGGAGACCAGAACCTTACAATACCTGTTCGCTTGGGAGACCAGAACCTTACAATACCTGTTCGCTTGGGAGACCAGAACCTTACAATACCTGTCCACTTGGGAGAACCAGAACCTTACAATACCTGTCCGCTTGGGAGAACCAGAACCTTACAATAGCTGTCCGCTTGGGAGAACCAGAACCTTACAATACCTGTTCGCTTGGGAGAACCAGAACCTTACAATACCTGTCCACTTGGGAGAACCAGAACCTTACAATACCTGTTCGCTTGGGAGAACCAGAACCTTATAATACCTGTCCGCTTGGGAGAACCAGAACCTTACAATACCATTTCGCTTGGGAGAACCAAAACCTTACAATACCTGTTCGCTTGGGAGAACCAGAACCTTACAATACCTGTTCGCTTGGGAGAACTAGAACCTTATAATACCTGTTCGCTTGGGAGAACCAGAACCTTACAATACCTGTCCGCTTGGGAGAACCAGAATCTTACAATACTTGTTCGCTTGGGAGAACCAGAACGTTACAATATCTGTTCGCTTGGGAGAACCAGAACCTTACAATACCTGTTCGCTTGGGAAAACTAAAACCTTACAATACCTGTTCGCTTGGGAGCACCAGAACCTTACCACACCTGTTCGCCTGGGAAAACCAGAACCTTATAATACCTGTTCGCTTGGGTGGATTAGAACCTTACAATACCTGTTCGCTTGGGAGTTACCAGAACCTTACAACACCTGTTCGCCTGGGAAAATCAAGAAACTTACAATACCCGTTCGCTTGGGAGAACTAGAACCTTACTATACCTGTACCTGTTCGCTTCTGAGAACTGCTGGACAGTATCTGTACAATGTTGAGTTGCTGGACAGTAACACCTGTACCTACTGCTGGAGAGTTCCACCTGTGTACTTACACCTGTACTTACTGCTGGACAGTTACACCTGTACTTACTGCTGGACAGTTCCACCTGTACTTACTGCTGGACAGTTCCACCTGTACTTACTGCTGGAGAGTTACACCTGTACTTACTGCTGGACAGTTCCACCTGTACTTACTGCTGGAGAGTTCCACCTGTACTTACTGCTGGACAGTTCCACCTGTACTTACTGCTGGACAGTTCTACCAGTACTTACTGCTGGACAGTTCTACCTGTACTTACTGCTGAACAGTTCCACCTGTACTTACTGCTGGACAGTTCTACCAGTACTTACTGCTGGACAGTTCTACCAGTACTTACTGCTGCAGTTCAGACGAGAGACAGTCCAGGTCCCACCTCTCTGGCACTTGCTTCTTCTGCTCCCCGAAACCCTCGTGAAGCCCGACAGACAGTCGTACCTCGCCTGGCCGCCTTGGTAGTGAGACGTAAAGTTGATGACATAAGCGTTGTTTACAGGAGGCGGGTCCCCACACGACACTGTGAAGTAGCAGTATTGTTTACATATACTCCTCACAAAAGCAACACAAATTTGTAGTCTCATTACATTTTCATTTATTGAAATTGCAAATCATGGAATGATGCAATGGAAAGGTGAAACATATGTACACACGATTAACAAAATGAAATGAAATGGTATTGAGCAATACTAGACTTACAAATCATCAAAACCATGTACCCGCGATACAGTCGTGCAAAATGTGCTGCATTGATGGAGCAAAATGTTAACATTAAGGTTCAAGTCAGTATTGGCCAGTGAAGCAGTGTTCAGTAACGCGTATGACCACCATGAGCACAAATGCAAGCTTCTACACGTCTTTGCATTGACCAAATGCGCATTTAATGTTGCTGTTGTGGAATGTTCTGCCATTCTCTCTGTAGCGCCTGCTCATGGTCATCCAGAGTCTAGGGGTGAACATGGAGACCGTAAACTTGACTTCCAATAATGTCCTAAGAATGTTCAATGGCATTAAGATCAAGTGGCCTTGCAGGCCAGTCCATATGTGTGATGTTGTTGATCTAAACAACATCGTTAACAACTCTTTCTCGGGCATTATCATCCATGGAGGGGCATTATCATCCATAAAGATGAAGTTAGGACCCGCTTGTTGTGCCAGAGGAATGATTACATGTAGGTTTACACCTATCAGGGTGCATGTGTGAAGAGTGTATGTTGTTTCTGAGGGTGGTTGTGTTCGGGTGATGCTGTCAATGTTATTAGATAAATCAATTTGACAGTCACTTAAGGTTATGTATTCTCTGAATATTTACCTTTCAGTAACATGTCGGCAAAAATCGCTATCGAGATTGATAAAGATATTACACAGAAAATACGTGTTGCTTAATTTTTGTGAGGAGTATATAATCATGTCTCTAACGTAATTAGGGCGCGTGTGTCGACGGGCATGGGCATGGGTACCTGGAATTATACCCCGCTAAACAACACGGCCTGGAGTTATACCACCGTGCACAATATGGCCTGGGTTATACAACCTCGAACATCATGGCTTGGAGTTATACAACCTCGAACATAAGTATCTAGAATTATACCGCCTTGCACAACATGGCCTGGGTTATACCACCTTGGACATCATGGCCTGGAGTTATACCGCCTTGCACAACATGGCCTGGGTTATACCACCTTGGACATCATGGCCTGGAGTTATACCGTCTTGCACAACATGGCCTGGAGTTATACCACCTTGGACATCATGGCCTGGAGTTATACCACCTTGCAACATGGCCTGGAGTTATACCACCTTGGACAACACGGCCTGGAGTTATACCACCTTGAACATCAGTATCTAGAATTTATACTGCATATCACAACACGGCCTGGAGTTATACCACCTTGGACAACACGGCCTGGAGTTATTCCACCTTGGACATTGAGTGTCTAGAATTATACCTTTGCACAACATGGCCTGGAGTTATACCACCTTGGACATCATGGCCTGGAGTTATACCACCTTGCACAACATGGCCTGGAGTTATACCACCTTGGACATCATGGCCTGGAGTTATACCACCTTGCACAACATGGCCTGGAGTTATACCACCTTGAACATCAGTCTCTAGAATTATACCGCCTTGCACAAAACGGCCTGGAGTTATACCACCTTGGACAACACGGCCTGGGTTATACCACCTTGGCCATCAGTATCTAGAATTATACCGCCTTGTACATCACGGCCTGGAGTTATACCACCTTGGACAACATGGCCTGGGTTATACTGCCGGGAACGTCAGTTTTAGAGTTAACTGAGATAGGGCACTTCGCACACCATGACATTACCTCATTACATGGCGTTATAACATGTTGCACAACATGATCTAGATTCACCCAAGATTGTTCATCGGGACATAGAGTAAACCAGTACACTGACACCACAGTCGATGACTGGTTACCACAGTCCGTCATATAAACCAGTTACACTGATGACTTACCACAGTCCGTCATATACAAACCAGTTGACACTGATGACTTACCACAGTCCGTCATATAAACCAGTTACACTGGTGACTTACCACAGTCCGTCACATATAAACCAGTTACACTGATGACTTACCACAGTCCGTCATATAAACCAGTTACACTGATGACTTACCACAGTCGGTCATATAAACCAGTTACACTGATGACTTACCACAGTCCGCCATATAAAACCAGTTACACTGATGACTTACCACAGTCCGTCATATAAACCAGTTACACTGGTGATGACTTACCACAGTCCGTCATATAAACCAGTTACACTGATGACTTACCACAGTCCGTCATATAAACCAGTTACACTGGTGACTTACCACAGTCGGTCATATAAACCAGTTACACTGATGACTTACCACAGTCCGTCCATATATAAACCAGTTACACTGATGACTTACCACAGTCCGTCATATAAACCAGTTACACTGATGACTTACCACAGTCCGTCATATAAACCAGTTACACACGATGACTTACCACAGTCCGTCATATAAACCAGTTACACTGATGACTTACCACAGTCCGTCATATAAACCAGTTACACTGATGACTTACCACAGTCCGTCATATAAACCAGTTACACTGATGACTTACCACAGTCCGTCCATATAAACCAGTTACACTGATGACTTACCACAGTCCGTCATATAAACCAGTTACACTGATGACTTACCACAGTCCGTCCTATAAACCAGTTACACTGATGACTTACCACAGTCCGCCATATAAACCAGTTACACTGATGACTTACCACAGTCCGTCATATAAACCAGTTACACTGATGACTTACCACAGTCCGTCATATAAACCAGTTACACTGATGACTTACCACAGTCCGTCCTATAAACCAGTTACACTGATGACTTACCACAGTCCGTCATATAAACCAGTTACACTGATGACTTACCACAGTCCGTCATATAAACCAGTTACACTGATGACTTACCACAGTCCGTCATATAAACCAGTTACACTGATGACTTACCACAGTCCGTCATATAAACCAGTTACACTGATGACTTCCACCACAGTCCGCCATATAAACCAGTTACACTGATGACTTACCACAGTCCGTCATATAAACCAGTTACACTGATGACTTACCACAGTCCGTCCTATAAACCAGTTACACAGATGACTTACCACAGTCCGTCATATAAACCAGTTACACTGATGACTTACCACAGTCCGTCATATAAACCAGTTACACTGATGACTTACAACAGTCCGTCATATAAACCAGTTACACTGATGACTTACCACAGTCCGTCATATAAACCAGTTACACTGATGACTTACCACAGTCCGTCATATAAACCAGTTACACTGATGACTTACCACAGTCCGTCATATAAACCAGTTACACTGATGACTTACCACAGTCCGCCATATAAACCAGTTACACTGATGACTTACCACAGTCCGCCATATAAACCAGTTACACTGGATGACTTACCACAGTCCGTCATATAAACCAGTTACACAGATGACTTACCACAGTCCGTCATATAAACCAGTTACACTGATGACTTACCACAGTCCGTCATATAAACCAGTTACACTGATGACTTACCACAGTCGGCCATATAAAACAGCTTACACTGATGACTTACCACAGTCCGTCCTATAAACCAGTTACACTGATGACTTACCACAGTCGGCCATATAAAGCAGTTACATTGGTGACTTACCACAGTCCGTCATATAAACCAGTTACACTGATGACATACCACAGTCCGTCATATAAACCAGTTACATTGGTGACTTACAACAGTCGGCCATATAAACCAGTTACACTGATGACTTACCACAGTCCGTCATATAAACCAGTTACACTGATGACTTACCACAGTCCGTCATATAAACCAGTTACACTGATGACTTACCACAGTCCGTCATATAAACCAGTTACATTGGTGACTTACAACAGTCGGAAATATAAACCAGTTACACATGATGACTTACTACAGTCCGTCATATAAACCAGTTACACTGGTGACTTACCACAGTCCGTCATATAAACCAGTTACACTGATGACTTACAACAGTCCGTCATATAAACCAGTTACACTGATGACTTACCACAGTCCGTCATATAAACCAGTTACACATGATGACTTACAACAGTCCGTCATATAAACCAGTTACACTGATGACTTACCACAGTCCGTCATATAAACCAGTTACACATATGACTTACCACAGTCCGTCATATAAACCAGTTACACTGATGACTTACAACAGTCCGTCATATAAACCAGTTACACTGATGACTTACCACAGTCGGCCATATAAAAACAGCTACACTGATGACTTACCACAGTCCGTCCTATAAACCAGTTACACTGATGACTTACCACAGTCGGCCATATAAAGCAGTTACATTGGTGACTTACCACAGTCCGTCATATAAACCAGTTACACTGATGACATACCACAGTCCGTCATATAAACCAGTTACATTGGTGACTTACAACAGTCTGCCATATAAACCAGTTACACTGATGACTTACCACAGTCCGTCATATAAACCAGTACACTGATGACTTACCACAGTCCGTCCTATAAACCAGTTACACTGATGACTTACCACAGTCCGTCATATAAAACCAGTTACACTGATGACTTACCACAGTCGGCCATATAAACCAGTTACACTGATGACTTACCACAGTCGGCCATATAAACCAGTTACACTGATGACTTACCACAGTCCGTCAAATAAACCAGTTACACTGATGACTTACCACAGTCCGTCATATAAACCAGTTACACTGGTGACTTACCACAGTCCGTCCTATATACCAGTTACACAGATGACTTTACCACAGTCCGTCCTATGAACCAGTTACACTGATGACTTACAACAGTCCGTCATATAAACCAGTTACACTGGTGACTTACCACAGTCCGTCCTATAAACCAGTTACACAGATGACTTACCACAGTCCGTCCTATGAACCAGTTACACTGATGACTTACAACAGTC